GAATTTCGTCCACCCAATTTCCGTGAATTCACAAAAATTCACTGTAGTCTGTGCTTTATTGTCATGATACTGACATTCAAACACGTATTGTCAAATTTAATCAAATTTGAACATGATAGCACTAAGTGCGTTTAATAAAATAAAAATTATCTCTCTAGTACAAGAAGGTATGTCCCAAGAACGTGTCTCTATACTTTTGGGCATACCAAGGACTACCATTTCAAAGGACAGAGGTAAAAAGTAGCAAGGAGCATCGACCATTCTGTCAACATGACAAACGTTAATCAAAATTTTAAAACAAGCTACAATAGGTTAGAGAAAGCTAAAGAATAATTTACACTTTTAATCTGTCAGGGAAATTTGGTGGACGAAATTCACTGTCCATCACTGTACAACACAGTTTACAATGTTGTTATTTTCTGGGGATTTTAAACGGGACTTACTCCTTCAGTAATTTACCTCAATTGGATTCGCTCCAGGCATGTAAAAGTGTAAAACCAATTATAGTTGAAAATTCATCTAAATTATGTGGTAAAATTTTGATTTTACAAATGCACCTAGTAGATACGGGTTTTATTAAATTTTGTGACGTGTTTCCTTCTATTCTGGTAAAGACCCTTACAACTCCATAATCAGATATAAAAAAATAAAAAATTACATAATCTGTTTTAACAACTTTCTTGAAACCAAGACATGTAAAACAAAAAAATCAATCTAAGTAAAATTTTTATATTTCTTTTGTAAAGACTTAACTCCGCAGTAAAATAATTCGTCACATTTACGAGGTCACTAACCAGTAACTAAAGATAGCTAGCTTTGCACCTTGTCATTATTTCTTTATTTGTGTTGTTTCGAAGATAGAGAAAATCAAAATCAGGTCCTTACTCTTAATCCAAAAAAGAATTAATATTTTTAGATGCAGTTTTATTAGAAGATCTAATTTTAAGTATAACGTAAAAAAATAACTCGTTTTTTTTAATTCCTCTAACATTTACAATTTTAAAACTCTGTGATGAGCACAATGAATAAAGCAATATCAAAAAAAATACTTGTAGTAATTAATGAGGTGCAAATCCTGATAAAGTAATTCTCATATTTACATTTGTTAATGTTCAGTTATCAACAAGATGTTTATTTTTGTATGTAATTCCTAATAAAGAACTGCAGTAATAATAGTGCAAATGACTTCTTTCATAATGACCTCTTTCATTTCATTGATAGCAAAGCAAGTTTCTATTATTGACATAGGGATCTTCATAATACAATGTTCATTAGTGAGATCCGGGACTAAAGAAGTAAAGGCGGTGCATGGCAACTTCTCATTTCTGAGTACAGGAACGGGGAGATGCAAGTCGCGGTTTTCAAAGCAAGAGAGAGCGAAGGACATGCGCGTCGTAGTAAAGTATGCGATCGATCCAGCTGTATCTGTGGTGACGGTCAAGGTTACCGGGTCTAGGTCATCGTTCACCCCTACACCCGATTTTCACCATCTCACGACAAAACAGGAAAACGTCCGGTTTTAACATGTTCTCAGTTACTTCCATGGTACCTTTGTTATCAACAGATAAGGTCCTTTTTTCATATCATCTCTCCTTTTTATTCATCTCATGCTATACCTACCTGTATGTATAATATAGAGGGTTCCGTTTTTATTATTACAAATTCAAATTTAAACAGGTAATAGAATATTCAATTTTAAGACAAATGTTTACATAAACATGTATCAAAAAATACTTTGTAAGACAGCGTCTTTACAGATACAACGGTCACAGAAAGAAACTGAGAACCTAATAAGCCACCTCTGTTACCCTGTTCGAGATGATACATAAAATTTAAGATAAAGAAACTTCAGTACATTGTGTAGCTAAATGTAATTTTACAAAATTTCGTATGGCGAACAAGAAGTCACTTAATCAAGCGCATTTTTAAGTGATCTTATTAAAAAGTCGATGCAAACTCTACAGGGAACCATAAATCGCAACGAGAAAGTTTGCAACCATTTGATTTTGGCATATTCAAAAATTTTGTCAAAACAACTATCATTTCTTAATGAAGCCAGTAGTTTTCCTTGGAGGTTTTCATCAACGGCACTACTTGGAATAAATCTATATTCTCCTGTAATAATTTCGATTAACATGAAAAGTCTAGAATATTGTTGAAAAAAAATAAGATCATTAAAAATCAAAAATGAAATTACTTAAAAGTATCGTAGCTGTAGCGACTTCATCATGGTTATATTTTACCTGTGGATTTTTTTTAAACATACAATCATTGATTTAATTTTATAATAAAACAGTTATAGCTTTTACCCTTGGTGACCTTGTACTGGACAAACCTTTAAGAGTGTATGTACAATCTTTCTTTTTTAGACATATTATACTTTCATCATCTTCTTGTATACTTTCTACAACATTTTTTTAACATCGACGTTGTGGTGAATCGGCAAAAAATTCGTAGCACTTTCGAATGTTTCCAAAAAATTCATTGTTTGCACCGAAGCACTCTTCTCTGTGACATGGCACCAAATTTAGTCGATGTGGTAGGCAGTGAACACAGGGTGCAAGCTTGATGATTCTCACAACTTATAGTTTTGCGTAATAAAGATATGCACCTTTTTCACTACTACTCATTACACCTAGCTCCATCATATGCTTGACCAATCATATTTTCTGTATTTAAGTGAAGTCGTCTAAATGAATTTAACAATAGCGATACATATCCTGGTGCATCATACCGCCCAGATTTAAAAATTCTAGAGATAGGTACTTCTTTTTATTGATATTTTATTATTGGCAATGTCTAAGCGTACGTACTAATCAATAAATCTACTTGATCTGTTTTTGAAATATCTGTAGTACTGTCAACGATAACGGTCCAAAATACTGCTTTTTGAACTTCTCCAATCATATTTTAAATTTTACGCGTTTTCATTCTGCATGTCCGTTAATATTGTGAAATGTAAAGTTCTATTTAAATGAACCAGTTCAGCATTGTGTATCAGGTCAATTTTTAAAATTCCATTACATTCATATTTCCCATAATTTTAAAAGAATAAAACAATGTTGGTACACTAGATTCTACGTTTCCTCTATCACACTTTTCTTACTATCTCTTGCTCCAAATCTTTCTCTAAAATATCTTTTCTAAACATCACTATCACTACTTATAAAATTAACTCCTTTCAATGTTATTATTTTCTTAACGATTTCATAAACTTTTTTACAAAATGATTTTAAAAAACACTTTTCCTGTTAAACAAGACGTCCGAAATCAATAATGCCTTTAGAATGCCTAATGCCTTTAGAATAAATTGTCAAAATTGATGAAATGCCAAGATACGAGTAGGTATTTTATGTACTGGCCGAAAAATAAATTTTGTCCACCACAAATGTCCAAATGACATTCGCTTCTAAAGACCTGTGAACTAACCTCACTCTTTAAGTCTTGTCAAGCAAGGTTGTCATTTTGATATATTATCCGTTTTTTTATAAACAATTGTCAGTGTCAAAATCGGGTATAAAAATAATTCATATCGCTTTAAAAGGGAAAATTGAGAAATTAGATTAGATTACGTACCCAGATTTGGAGTGAGCAATACAGTTCATAAATACAGGGTGCGCTAGAACTCGCGCCCCAGAGAAAAATGTCATATAAGGTAAGATACCAGGAACATGGAAAAAATGTTTAAAAAAATGTATCTATAAAGATTTCGAAGTTATGAGAGTTTAAATTTTGCACTTTGACTCTACTTATTTCTGATGGAACAATAATTTTTCAGGTTTTTTTGCTACAGGCTATTAGAAGAGGAAACAAAGGAGCTGTATTCTAAATTGACATTTAGGTGGAATAATTTTAGGTGGCTGTAAAAAATAAAAATAATTCTTATTTTCACATTTGAAAATGAATTGTGAAGAAAGTCCGTCACTAAAATTAAATTAACGCCAAAGACTTATTCCAGCACTCAAATGACGTCATTTTCAGTACACAAAATATCAATGTATTCAATTATTAGTTACCTTTTATTTAGATTAAACTACCGCCTTTTAAAAACAATCGGTGGCAAAGCAAAAGTTAATTATTTCTTCTTAAGGTCTAGCAAAAATTCGCAGTAATAATAAAATTGTGACGGAAAATTATTATAACTGAATCCCCTAGAGCCCCAACCTTGACTAAAAAATCAATGTGTTCAGTTAGTACTTACTTGCTACACGTGTTTTATTTCAAAATTCGCACTCCAAAATCCAATTATAAAAGAATGTTATAATGATACATATTTTTAACATACTTCACAATCTAGACAGAATGACCATATTTCCGACGGTAAAAACTTGGCAAATTTCAAAACTAGCATATAACTAGAAAATGTAACATTGTAAAAACATCTAAGTAAATAAATAAAAAAATTGCCAGAAAAAACAGACTGTTTTTGGGTAATTCTGTTTAGTATCAAGCCCATGAGTTTCCAACATCCAAAAACGCATAAATTCTATTTTGTGTGATTGTTTTTAATTGATTTTACTCGTAATGCTTTAAAAAAGTTCAATCGATTGCTAGAAAAAGTCCTCATTATTCTCCATAACTAGCACATGTGGAGTACAATCAATACAATGTTGGACGATATTTATATGTTAATAACGTCATTTATTTTGATTTTCAGATTCAGAGAAAAAAACCATACGGCTCGCAGACTTGAAAAATCTATATACACAATTTAAATAAATAATTTTATGAAATGGTAAAACATAACCTCGAAAACGCCGGTCACATATGCAAACAAACAGACCACAAAAGCCCCTTACCTCGATCAAACTTCTTTCCCTCAGGATCAATATCTTTCACGTTAAATATATCTTCAAAAAGAACACCTGCCATCGTCGAATAACGTGTAAATAATCAAAAATTAACACACTTTTAATATTTTCTTCTCCAAAAGAACAATTTTTGACAGACATCAATATTTGACAGTAATGACAGTCGTCAGTGTTTCAATCAGTGCTACCATCGGAAAGACAAATCTCCCAAACAAAACCAAAACAAAAATGTCACCGTTTAAATGTCAAAGTTCCATGTAAGAAGTGTCAACACAACACCAAATTTTAACTTAGCTGAATTTAATAATTTATTAAATGAAAATGGCAACACTACCCCCCAGGAGAAACCCTACACCTACAAAAATATCCAAACAGCACCTGACTCCGCTACAAATTCTCCTGCAGATGGGATTTCCTAAACACAGAGCGTAAGTAAACAAAATACTAATTTAAATTTATTTTAATCTTGAAAATCTTAGCGAAAAGGCTTTAGCCGCCACGGGTAACAGGGGTGTGCAATTGGCTTCAGATTGGTTATTGGCTCATGTAAATGATCCATTGTTGGATGATAATTCGCCAAGAGAGTACATTTTATATGCGTGTCCCACAGGACCCTTTCTGGAACAGTTACAGAACTTCTGGGAGAAGTCACATAAGGAATGTGCCTGGAATGGAGCGCACAATTTTACGCCGCACATTACGCTAGTTTCGTTTTTTAAGGTGATTTTAATTTACCTAATGTTGAATTCATTTAAATGATTTACAACAGGCGCCTGATGAAGACGCTCCACATTTGGCTCAAAGTCTAAAGTCTGTAATGGAAAGGCAAGGTGCTATGTTGAATGAACCTCTAAAACTAGAGACGTATACATCTCCCAATTTTATGGGGTTTTTTGTGGCGGAAGAACATGCTGATTACTTAAAAAGGATTGCCATGCAATATGTTAAAGAAGTCTCAAATGCTAGTAAGTTTACTTTTCTATAAAATTTTATGAGCATGCTTGTACGTTTATGTTAGATATTTTTCTTTTGATTGCCAGGAAAATATTTAGATAATGATTGCTACCAATCTTAATATCCCTAATTACTCTTAATCACATTTTCTCCATATTGTAAATAAATTGATAACAATACTGTGTAAATGAAGCTCTTTAGCTTGCGTGGTAATCAAATTAATTGTAGTCTTTAATATTAGCACGATAATACTTGAAGGTCTGGCTAAAGGTGGTGGTTATTTGCAGTTATTAGTGACACATATGAACATTTCGATGCTCTAACAGCCTGTTTTCCTTGGTGTACCACAACAACTGCTCGATGCATTCCTCGGGGAAGTAGATGTAAGCAAATTGTAGTTTAGTGTAGTTTTTAATATTTATTCTATTTATTTATCACATTTCTCTAGATGATAGTTGTCATTTTTGTATGGTTTATTTTTTTATTAAAAGTGTGAATTTTTACTTCGCTTTTTCCTTTTGTTACTCACATTCTTTATCCTTTTCACTAAAGTTGCTGGTTTACTAACATTGTGACGTTTTTGTATGTACCACTGCCCTAACAGCTTTTGTTTTTAGCTTTTTAAGAATTTAAAAAAGAAATACAGTGAGAGATATGAGAAAAAATGTATATCCAAAGAATTAATGGCTTTACAAAATGAAAATTATAACATAAGTATGTATGGACGAGTATACTTACAGGAAAATTTACTTTTTGCTTCCATTTGATAACTTATGTGGCAATGGAAAACGTTAATGACCGATATTAAAAATATGATATTGCAAAATGTGTATGTTTACTCTTTGATTTTACAACACAGTTATTTTTTGCATTTTATGACTCTTTGTCAGACAGTGGCAAAATATTTACCCGTCCTCACCGCTAAAACGTTTGAAAAGTGTTTCATATTTTTTTTAACTTAAAAACAGTAAGTAGGATTATTATGTATTTTATTATTTCTATTAAATATCCGAAAAGCAACGAAATATTGAAATTTCAAGATAAACCTGAAATTTATTCTTAGTAAGTACCTAATTCCGAACTGAAATTATGTATGTACATAATTAATTTTTGGTATGATTAGTCCCAGATATGTCCTATTCTGAAATACATGTACAACAGTGTCAATTTTAAAAGTTGCAATCGGCAATATCTTTAGAACTGAAAAAGTTTTTGAGAACCACTCAAAACCGTTTTGATGGTTCCTAGGGGGAACCCACTCTTGAATATAATTTAAAAGAATGAGAATTTAAAGTCTTCGTTTTAGAATAATAATTGGAAAACGGCTTTACTAAATAGGCTGTTGTATAACATTTTTGAAGAACGTTTGTTATAAGCTATGCGACAATGTATCACAACTAGGGTAAGTGCCATTTAAAATTTTCAACTTGGAGTGGTTGTAGCTTCAAGAGCGGGTGGAGGTGCGTCACTTACCATGTCATTTTGATGCCCCGTAGGAACCACCGAAACGGTTTTGAGTGATTCTCAATAACTTTTTCAGTTCTACAGATATTGCCGATTGCAACTTTTAAAATTGACACCCTGTATATTATTTCTTAATATAAAACTGCTTGTGGTGATAAGTTGCTAAAATTTTTCTTACCAAAATTTTGACTTGATAATTTCCATTTGAAAAAAAAAAAAATTTGGAGCAAGCAAGTCGAATTAATACTTTCGCGTGCTGATTTTGAGATTTTTTTATGAATTCAACAAAGTCTTGATATAAGCAAAATTAAAGTAGAGTGTTGTAATTATTATTTTGTTCTCGTAACAAAAATGACTCAAAATCGTCCGAAACAAGCAGAAATAACACGTTGTCCGATTTTTTTAAGGTCATTCCACAAAATCTCTTTAAACAATCAACTAAAACAAGCACTTAGAGTGCCCGAATTCGCGATCTTTGAAAATAATTTTAAAAGTGAACAAACCAAACAAAACAAATCTAATTAACATACTGAGGCCCCGATTTTTTTCTTTCTGCAACTTTTAAATGTTTGTATTATGTTTTTTTATTAACGATATGATTAAGTTGGACAAATCACGCCAAAATAACAAATTTAGGCCTGATTTTGTGATTGTTTTGCATTAAATTAAAAATAAACGAAATTAAAATAAGGCGTGCGCCTCGGTGTCCGTTGACTATGTTGTTATGAAGCCCCATTATACTCGTCATATTATTTTGCCACTAATAATAATAATTATAACATGAAAACTTTAACACATAGATAAATTATTAGAAAGAAAAAATAGTCCAATGTACTGTGTTTCGCACGTGATAGTGGCCATTTTCAGGTATTTTATTGTTCTTTTTTTTCTGTACGTAACATTCTATAGGTTTTTGCCTTCTGTATCGAGTTGAAGTATCAAGAAATAGAGTTTCTATAGACGTAATCATTTTTTATAGTCGGAAATGTTTTTTAAACCCACGTTAACGTTTACAGCTATAAGTCTTGAGCCCCACGTGAAATCTCTCCATTTGACGTTGGCGTACCAATTTCCCAGCATCCACTACACCCACTTAAAATCCCTCGTAGACGAACTCGACCCTAGCGACTCCGCCAGCTGGGAATTGCGCCTATACTCCCGCGATCCTCGCGTAAACGGTAAACAAGTCCACAAAGTAAGAAATCATCCGTAGGTCATCCCTTTAACTAAATATCACCTCACCTATTCCAGGTGATCCACCCCTATCAACCAACCGAGTGTGACGAATTAGATCTCCGCACCGGCGATTACGTCTATATAAGCAGCGAGGCCCTGGCCAATTCGCCCGACGGTTGGGTGGAGGGTACTTCTTGGTTGACTGGACTGACGGGACTCTTACCGGAGAGTTACACTGAAAGGACTGCGGAATCCGATGCGTGGACTCTACACAAGAAAGTGCCATTGAATCACATTACTCAACCGGAAATTAAATACGCGTTACCCCAAAAACCACATCAACAATCGGTGGAGATGGAGGAGGACGCCTCTAAGCAAAGTGCCAAGGGTGAGAGTGAATCGAAGAACGGAGACGAAGATTATTGCTTTCCGGCGTCTCCGAGGATTGAAAATTTGTACGAAAATGTGTTCAAAACGGGGCCTCAACAACAGGTGAGATTTTACTTTTGAATTTTTTTCATACCATTAAAGATTAAAAATGAGTTTCTATATGTACTTTTTCAAATGCCTAGGATCCTTGTGAGTGCGAAAAACGTCAATTTGGCCGATTCTGAAGTAGCAGTTTGCAATTATAAATAAGCTTCTAGCACCAATGCTTGACGAGAATGTTTTTCCTTAATTTAAAACCATTGCACATTATTTCATGAGCTTATTTTTAGCAACAAAAAAATAATTTATCCACGACTATTGTATAATGTACCCCTTATACGTCTGTTTGCTCGATCTTAATAATAGCCATTAATCACAGTAGTGATGACTGCCGTGATTAATGCCCATTGATACTATTCAATATTACAGTCCGAATCAACAACAAAATTGTGAATTTTTCTAATGGCCTTAAATATTATTATTTTTACTTATTTTATGCAGTCAGTTTTTATTTATTTTACCTATTAAAATTACACAGGTCAACAAGGGTTCGGTAACATTGATGACAATTTGGTCAACAGTAGTTTTCTACTTCCTAAATAACAAAATACATTTTGTTTTTTGACAACACATACCGTTTATTTATTGCATTTTTTACCAAAATACATTTTCTGCACTCCCACTTGGATTTTTTTTCAACAAATTTGAAGGCTGTCAGTGACGAACAAGGGGAGAGGTTCCACCAAGACATCAGAAAGATGGAAGAACGCTATCAAGACCGCTGGGACCTTTCCATGATGGGCAATTATAGTGTTGGCTTTTAAAATGCGACAGTAACGTCCCTAACAAAAGAAAATGTTGAGATTTCACTCTTTTATTGTAATATATGACTTTTTTAATATTTCTAAAGTTAGTTTATTAAAATATTGTATGCTCATAATAAAATCAATTAAATAGTTGAAGTCAGTACTCTTTTGCTTTAACATGGGTGTCAGAACGAAGTTGGTAACATACGAACGATACGTGTTGAGATTTTCGAAATCAGAGTGAAAAATCATAAACGTGGAAGGTAGTTTAATCAATGTTACCGAAAATTTGTTCAAATTTGTTGACCAGTGTTATTATGGAAAACTACATTTATTTGTGGCCTTGAAATATAGTTCCAAACTTTTTCATTATCTTGATTGATTAATTTCGTCATTTCTACTATCTCTAGTAAGATATCCTTGAAATACAGCTAAAATCGTTAAAAATTCGATGGATTATTTATGTATAATGAGTTCGAATGTAAGCTTATTATATAATTTTTGGCCGAAAGTGAAAATATAATAATTTTACTGAAATTTACAAATTGCTTTAGGCACAAGATAAGAAGTCGCGAAAACTCTTCCTGATGCGTCATGGTGAACGAATCGACTTCACATTCGGCGTCTGGATTCCCTACTGCTTCGATGAGAACGGCAGATACACCCGCAAAGATTTGAACATGCCAGCCACAGTACCTGACCGATCCCAAGGACCCGCCGGCTACACCAAGGACACTCCCTTGACCAATGTTGGCGTCTTCCAAGCCAACACAGTCGGCGACGCCCTCAAAGACGCCCAACTCGACATCGCTTACGCTTACTCGTCGCCATCGTTCCGTTGCGTCCAAACCTGCGACGCCCTCCTCAAAGGTTACAATAAACGAGACGAAATCAAAATTAGAATCGAACCCGGGTTGTTTGAGTGGATGGCCTGGTATCCAGACGGTTTGCCAGACTGGATGACACCGGCGGAATTAGCCGCAGCCGGATACAACATTGACCTGAATTACCAGCCGTTTGTAACGGTGGCAGAACTGAAAGACGCTAGGGAAACTTGCGAACAGTATTATTTACGAAATACCTTCGTTACGAGAGGAGCTCTTAATGCTCATTCCAACGGAAATGTTTTGTTTGTGGGCCACGCGTCCACTTTGGAAGTGTGTTCGAGGGAATTGATTGGTAAGAAGCCAAGAGCGGCTTACGAAATGACGGATGTCATACAGAAAGTGGCCTATTGTAGTTTACTACAACTGGCGCAAGAGGGAGACAAATGGGAGATTTCAGAACTGCCTTTCCCTCCTATCACGCATACAACCAACCATAGGTTCGATTATAAAATTTTCTTGAATTAATGATATGAAACGGTGCCCTCCATTAGTGGAGCAAATCTAAGAATTCAAAATTGGTGAAACGTCCACTAATGTTTCACTAACTTTGATATTTGAAATTTGCCCCAGAATGTAATCCACTTACCAAAGAACGCCTGCGTAGTTTATTATTGCTATATTTTGGTGCATAGACTTGGTACAATAAGAATAAAGCATTAACTGTTGTGTAAAGCTGAATAAAGAAAAACTTGTTTCTTAGTAAAAATATGCTTTTATAAAAATTTACAGTTGCACCTAACATCACATTTGTACTTAAACATGACCACCTTCTTTCAATTTTCCAATAAGAGCATCCACATCGGGCAAAATGGCTCCAGCTTGACGCACCGGTGGGTCTTCCACACTGACAACACTGATCCTAGGAGACACATCAACTCCTAAATCCTTAGGAGTCATTTTAGTAATGGGCTTCTTCTTTGCTTTCATGATATTTGGCAGTGTAGCATAACGAGGCTCGTTCAAACGCAAATCGGCACTTATCACAACCGGCATTTTGCATTTAATCGTCTCCAAGCCCCCATCAACCTCTCTGGTTACAGTGATTTCTTTATCACCCTTTTCTATCTAAAAAAAGCAACAGATAACATTTGAATTTTCAACCGTAGGGATTACCTTTGAAGCAAACGTAGCTTGAGGCCAATCTAAAGCAGCAGCAGTCATTTGAGCTGTCTGATTCGAGTCGTCATCAATTGCCTGCTTGCCAACAATGATCAAATCGGCTTTTTCCTTTTCAGCAAGTTTGGCCAAGATTTTTGAAACGTGGATCGGTTGAAGGGTTTCATAGTCGGCCCCTGAAACCTCGACGTGAATTCCCTTGTCAACTCCCATAGCAAGGGCAGTTCTGATGACTTCTTGGGCTTGTGTTGGTCCACAAGAAACAGCGATAATTTCAGACGCTAGTTTCTTTTCTTTCATGCGAACAGCTTCTTCGACGGCAATTTCGTCGAAGGGGTTCATCGAGTGTTTCACTCCATCGGTAACGACTCCAGTTTTGTCAGGTTTAACACGAATCTAAAAATTTTGGGTTGTAAATAAAAAGGGAAAATAAGACGGCAAGACTTACTTTAACGGCATAGTCGATGACTCTTTTAACTCCAACTAAAACGCGAGCCATTGCAATAAAAAGGTTGTAAAGGAATTAAATAAATGAATATTTGGAAGATATTACAAGATTTGGACCATTGGACTTTGACACTTTTATCAAAGTTGACGTTTCATAACTAGGTTGGCGACACTGTCCAATTGTGGCAAAAGAGCGGGAATTAAAAAAAAAACTCATTGCAAACATGAATTTATTAGAAACAGAAAAACGCCACTGCTGTTTGTATTTAAATACAGGCTAAAGTAATGTTTACAATTGTGACAAAAAAATACAAAGAATTTTCGTTGCTGTAAACACTGAAAGTTTCAAATTAAATTTTTCCGAAAACTCTCATTATCTTGTAGTTTGGATGCACCTCAGGTCGCACATTCAAGACCAAATAGAGCAGATCGGCCAAAACCTAAACAGAGCAATAGAATTAGAAATAAAACAGGCGTGTTTGCGGCCGCAACCATAAATAAAATCACGCAATTTACAAATACAGACCAAAATAGATACTGTACCTTTTCTTTATTGGTTTTTACGTCATCTTCCACCTCACGGATAATGTGTTCTGTATTCTTATCAATTCTAGCGGCGATATCTTCCTTCGAGCCCAAATGTTTGGCCTCGTACTCCCTAAATTGCCTCTCTCTTTCTTTTCTGTAATTTTCAATTTCCGCCTGAGCTTCCTCTCTCGCTTGCTTAATTCTGCGCGCTTTTCCTATTATTAATAAAATTGGAATAATGTATGACTTGCTGATATGCGTAAATTGTCAAAATATTTATAAAAAAAACTAACGTAAATGAGTGTCAAAATATGCATCATGTAACATAATGATCCTTTTAAGATACAAAAATAACACGGAGCATATCTAAATATAAACCACAACTCTTATAAATTGAAATACTCACTTTTTCTGGCTTCGGCGACTTTCTCAGCTGCCCTTTTTTCAGCAGTTAGTAACTGCTGAATGCCTTGAGTTTGACTTGCCATTGCAAAATGGAGCAAGACACTTAGATGTTGTTGTATTAATGAAATTATACCTCAATTGTATTAAATTGCTTAAGTGTGTAGAGGGGCAACAGAAATTATTTAAAAATAGAAATACCGAATTTTGTGCACGAGTTATTTACAGGAAAAGCAATCAGTTTCAACTAGAAGTAACTATCAAGGTAGAAACTTATATGGTGGGTATTATTGTGAACCAGAGGAAATACAAATTGACTCTTTTGTCGTTTCGTTTCTAATTAAAATATTGTACACAATGAAAAAGCCATTTGTGACCATGATGTCAGGCAAGATAATTGGGAACACACCAAAGCATGACTACAGCATTGCTTTTCAGCAAAACACTTCATCAACTTAATTTTAATGGCCTTTGCAATTAAAACTTTAATATTGTCAGTCTAAAAATATTGCTAGCACTTTAACGAGAAACTCATTCTCCTCACACAAAACTGCCTCTTACATTAATAACTACTTGCTAAAAGACAACTTTAACAGTCCCAAAGAATCATCATTGCATAGAAATTTGTAGATAATTATGTTAATATCACACTCGTTTCAAGGCAGACAATGGTAACTTTTTTCACTAAAATAGAACAAAAACTAGTAGATGAAAAAGCAAGTGTAAGATTTAACTTCTTTATTTTTTCCACTTTTAGTACTTACAAATAAGAAATTGTACCTAACATGACTACAACCCCTGTAAAATAAAACTTGTTCTTCAACTATTACCTCCCATTATCTACATACTTACATAACTAGTTTACTTCTTGAGAAGTTGGTGTCTCAAGATAAGAAAAGGTGCCCCAAATCCAGACCCAAAGAATGCAATGAAGAGGGCTGTCAACTTATACCTATTGTTGATGGAAAATGGCAAATTCTGCATACAACAACATCACAAAAATTAAGAAACATTCTAAACAGAATATTAAAAAAATGTTATCAATCCCAACCCCAAAAATTTGACAGTTATGTAATCTCAAGCGTGTTTTATTACCTCTCCAGGAACACCTCCATGGCCATGATTTCTGACAAAATTGCTAATTACGTTTCTTGCAAACAATGAGCTGCGATGCAACATCTTGTTTTTTGAAGAGAAAATAATAAATTTCCACAAAAAATTTCTTGTCCTTTGGAAATGTACCCAACTGAAACATATGACAGCAGCGCAAGTGCAGTCAAGATCGCCAATCTGCTAAACTTGAAAACCCCAACATTATCTCGTTTTATGATTATTTCTTTCACCTTATTGGAAATCATATTCATTTATTTAAAATTTCAGGAGTATTTAAGAAATTCTATATGATAAAAAAGGTCCAAATCAAATCATATAATGTTAAGCACTTTTATTGTAAAATTTATGTTATTTGTTGTCCCCAAGTTTGCCACATCAAAATATATTCAAAATTAAAATTACTAAATATTGTTTTTTTTTCTAGTTTGTCTTAATTTTATTTATTCATTAAGGTCAAAGATTATTATTGTAATCAAAATCAGTGATAACGCAATAATAACCATAGCATAAGTAATAACTCGTCAATTTTTTAATAGTGGTGGAACCTCCATTTGGTGACAAAATGTTTTCCAAGCTAAAATTTATTTCTAACCGAAGCTTAATAAAGTTGTTCCATACAGCCACTAGCAATGTTATTAAAACAAAAATTGATTACAATTCTCAGCAATTTATGGTAATTACCCAATTTCCTTCTATTTTTAGTGAATTATCACTAAATTGCACCACCTGTATTTCAAAATGGCGCTAATTTTGAATTATTTTCAGAATAATGAGCTTCAAATGAAACAGATAGTGGCTACTTTACAAAAACGAACAGGAGATATAATAAAAGGGGGTGGCGAAAAAGCCGTCAAGAAACATACATCAAAAGGAAAATTGCTAGCAAGAGATCGAATTAACAAACTTTTGGACAAGAGTACAGCTTTTCTAGAGTTTTCATCATTAGCAGCGTATGATATGTACGGGGGTAACATCAACGCGGCTGGAATCATCACTGGAATTGGAAAAATTCACGGGTACATAATGATAATATGATTTACTTTTATTGATTACTGTATTTTATAGACGGGAATGCGTGATTGTGGCCAACGATGCAACCATCAAAGGCGGTACTTACTACCCAATGACAGTCAAAAAACATCTGAGAGCACAAGAAATTGCTCAAGAAAATAAGCTTCCATGCATTTATCTTGTCGACAGCGGCGGTGCCAACTTGCCACATCAATCTGACGCATTTCCTGATAAAAACCACTTTGGACGAATCTTTTTCAACCAAGCGAATATGTCAGCAGCAGGAATTGCCCAAATAGCTGTCGTGTTAGGGTCTTGCACCGCGGGAGGGGCTTACGTGCCTGCAATGGCTGATGAATCTGTGATAGTCAAACAGCAAGGAACTATTTTCTTAGCTGGTCCTCCGCTTGTTAAAGCTGCCACAGGAGAAGAAGTCTCAGATGAAGACTTGGGTGGGGCGGAATTGCACTGTTCCACGTCAGGCGTGACAGACCATTTCGCTTTAAATGACGAACATGCGCTGCATCTAGCTAGGGAGATTGTTAAAAATTTGGAAAAACCAAAAGTAGATACTTTTGATGAAGAATTTGAGCCTCCATTGTATAGTAGTGAAGATTTATACGGGATTATTGATCAAGATTTACAAAAATCGTTCGATGTTAGAGAAGTTATAGCCCGGATTTTTGACGGATCTAGGTTTGACGAGTTTAAGAAAAAATACGGGGAAACTCTAGTCTGTGGCTTTTCAAAACTGTATGGAAAAACAGTTGGGATCATTGGGAATAACGGAGTTCTGTTTTCTGAAAGTGCGATGAAAGGGGCCCACTTTGTGCAACTTTGCACTCAAAGAAACATCCCTATCGTATTCTTACAAAATATTACAGGTTTCATGGTTGGAAGACAAGCAGAAATGGGGGGAATAGCTAAACACGGCGCCAAGTTGGTTACTGCTGTAGCTTGTTCAAAGGTTCCAAAATTCACTCTGATAATTGGGGGTTCATATGGGGCTGGAAATTATGGTAAATATATTACTCCTATGACAATTTGGCAATTTTCATCTATTTTTAAGGCATGTGTGGACGCTCCTATTCGCCTCGATTTTTATACATGTGGCCAAATGCCCGCATTTCGGTAATGGGAGGGCGCCAAGCAGCTGGAGTTCTTTCCCAAGTCCAGAGTAGAGGCAAAAACTGGTCCCAAAAAGAAAAGGACGATTTTGAGGCCCCAATTATCGAACAGTTTGAAAGAGAAGGATCACCATATTTCAGCAGTGCAAGATTATGGGATGACGGGGTAATTGATCCTAAAGACACAAGAAAAGTGCTAGGTTTAAGCCTGGCAGCGGCATTAAATGCCCAACCAGAAAAAACCAAATTCGGAGTTTTCCGCATGTAAATATTTAATTAAATCACATTTAAACAGTGTCTCTTTTTTCAATATACCTCAGCTGTTTCTTTTTCATTTTCTTAATCTTACTTGTGTTTGTTATGACTTGAACTATTTCAGATTTTTTGCGATTTTCTTCTTGGCGTTTCAAGTTTTCTCTTCTCCGTTGCTTCTTCTGTTCCTTCTCTTCATCTTTTGCTGCTATAATCGCTCTACTTGCTTCTTTTATCCTTTTAAGTTCTTGTCTCAAGGCTTGCTTCTTCTCAAATGAATTTCGGATTCCTTTGGTTTTAATTATTGATGAAAATTTCTTTTTTTCATTTTTCCAAAATCGGCCCGACTTGGGTTTCCCTCGAATTACGCCTGTCTGGGCTGTGTTTGCAGGCTGAAGTCTTTAAGGGTAAATATGTAGTAAAAGTAGGACTGAATTGTTTTAACACTTACTTCTTTTTTAAACATTCACTAGTTTTTTCCACACTACTTGTTTTTGTATTAATTTTTGTCATCTTGATTCCCGATTTCTATAAAATAAAAAGTTGAATATTTCACGTGTTTAAACGTCAGAATTTTTTGAGGTTAGTGACGAGATGTTAAATAAACATGGATACCAACAAAATTATAGTTAGCTATCCTTTTCTAACACAATACACGCTAACTTTCTATATGTTCCTTAGGTTTGAGACACTTATAGAATTATTTATAAATAATCACGTATTTTTTTTAATCCTGTAGGGGTGCTGGGTTCTGTTTTAGCAGTAACATTATTTTTTCTACAACCTAATTAATATTTCATCTGTTGCTTTCTTGCCTTTTATTTAAAGAAAAATATTTATTGCACAGATTTGGTATCTTCCATCTTCGTTGACCTCTGCTTGTTATCCCAGTAGCCACAATAGTGATAAATATTGACTAATTGTTTCAAGATAATTGATGAAAAAACATAACATTTTTAAGAAATGAGCTTTATTGTTTCCCGTCTTGCGGCTGTGCGCTCCGCAAGAAACGTTCTGGATACCGACTTTCACTCATTCCACCACAATCTCCGAACGATATCCTTGAACGCTGACCAGTTAGCACCTAACAAAGATAAAAGAAAAATGGTAAGAATGCATTCTGTTTCAATTTCAATACGAAAATTAACAGAAATATCATCTACTAGGCTGGGAAACTAACCGAAGAACAGCGCAAAAGCGACCTGGAACCATTGCTAAAAAATGGCTGGACTGTGGTTAACAACAGGGATGCCATTTATAAGGAATATCTCTTCAAGAATTTTAACGAGGTATAATAAAGCTGGTTTCACACTGGTATATTGTATTTTAACTAGCGCGCTCTTGTGTCGAGTTTTTTAGTCTGTTGGGCAAATGAGGTTATATTTGTAGGCATTTGGGTTCATGACTCGCGTTGCTCTCTTAGCAGAAAAAATGGACCACCACCCGGAATGGTTTAATGTTTACAACAAAGTACAAGTAACGTTATCTTCCCATGATGTGAACGGATTAAGCAATCGTGACGTCAAGCTTGCCAATTTCATGGAACAAGCCTCTAAATTATTTAAACAGTAAAATTATCAGAAATGAACTATGAACCATGAATAAGAGACCAAACAGCGTAAACAGTGTTGATTCCTTTATTGATATATTGTCTTTTTCTCGTAAATAAATGTATGAGCAAATTCTTGCTACAGTTAGTAAAAAAATATAGGTACTATAGTCACAGGTACAATTACATTTGCTTGTATATGTTTTCGTCACAAGTCGATGAAACCGCCAACTTGTCTGGCAGATTTTCAAATTTGACCTTTTTGTATCGATTAAATAACAGTTCTCTTAGTTCTAAACTGTGGGTATAATCCCGAGTTTCACACACAACTTTTACCTGGAAGACAAGTTTCACACTTTTCTACTGTTTGAGTTTGATTAAAAGAATTACCTCAACACTGAAAACATCAGAAGTGACCCAAGCCCTTTCATGTATAACGTCTTTAATGGAAACCCCAATGGAACCAATCAGTTTACACAATTCGGAAATACCTCCAGGTCTATCGCTAACCGTTACTTTACATTTGACAAGTCGGCCATCAGCTGCAAGACCACGTTCCAAACACCGGCCCAAAATGGTCGTATCGATGTTACCCCCACTTAGAATTAACACAACTCTGAAAATTTAAATTAAAAATGAATCACTATGGAAGTCCTCAAACCTTTTCCCCTTAAATTCGTCTAACTGGCCTGCTAATATAGCAGCTAACCCTACAGCACCAGCGCCCTCTACGACGCACTTTTCCAATTCGACCATCCTTAAGATCGCCACCGCGATCCACTCTTCTTTAACTACGACCATTTTATCGACTAGAGATTTCGCCGTCTCCCACGCGTTGTATCCGACCATTGGGACCGCCAAACCATCGGCGAGAGTGCCCTCAATGGCCGTGAAAATTGGCTTTTCCACATCCATGGCTTTGGAAAAACTGGCACATCTTTCAGATTCAACTCCCTTAAATTGAATTTTAAGCGCACATTTTACAAGAGTGACCTAAATACAATAATTTTAATTTTGGGGTTTAGTGTTTTAACAGCGACTGCCACCCCCGCCAGGAGGCCTCCACCACCCGTTGGTACCACAATGGCATCGATGTCTTTCACTTGTTCCAAAATTTCCAAAGCAATGGTTCCTTGACCTGCTATAATTTGCGGATGGTCATAACTATAATAACAATGGTTGAAAATAGGAAACAAAGTTTGTAATTGTTTTACCCGTTGATATAAGTGTAACCTTTCTCCTTCGCCATCGTAATGGCTATTTTCCTGGCTTCGGCCATATCTTTGCCCTCCATGATAACATTAGCGTTGAACTCTTTACATTTTTGGATTTTCATAATAGGGGCTATTATGGGCATAACCACCGTTACGGGGATTCCCAGGAGGTACCCATGGTAGCAAACAGCTTGGGCATGGTTTCCGAGAGAAGCCGCGATCACTCCTTTTTGTCTTCGCTCCGGCGATAACATCAACATGGCGTACCTCGCTCCCCGTTCCTTAAAACTAATTTATTGCGTCGTAATAATTGTCTTTAGTTGAAATTACCTTCCGGTATTTTGTAAAAAGTCTTTTTTCAAATAAACATCCATTCCGGTTAAGTTAGACATGTGAGAGCGCTACAACAAAAGGTAGGTAATTAATATTTCTGTTGTTCTTTTTATTTTTTCAAGTACCGTGCATGGTGTATTGATAATTCCTGATTTAATTTTATATGCGGCTGATGTTATTTCTTCAAAAGTGACTTTCAGAGGAGAGTCCGGGTTGCAACTGGGGTCTTCTAACGTACCATTGATTTTGTGATTGCAAGGGTTGGGGTTGTTGGGGTCGCAACAAAAGCCTTCCTCCCGCATGTCGTCCTAAAACAGTGTTACAGTAAACAATAATATTTAAATTTATATCAATCAGATATGCACTCACTTGGCTGGTGCAGTTTAACTTTAATTGAACCATGATTAATTAAAAATGAACGTGTTTATTGACAAGATGTTATGCTAGACTGTTTTCATGTGGGTAAATAGGGCAAATGAACTTTTCTCGCATTTATAAAGCGGGTTTTTCCACATTTGATGATAAAAAGACTCCTTGGGGTCGATACGTTATCTTCGAAATATCCACTCATAAATTAATGTCTGTCATACTTTTTTTATGACGATCATTAAATGACCATCATCATTGAAGACAATCGAGCTAATATTTTCACATACCTAGTAAGAGCTTCATTTTCGAAGAATTTTTTGTGTAAAAAAATGGAAGCTGCAATAAGCGATTAAAAACTTGTCCTTTACTACAGTTAGATAATTATCACTAACATTTACTGAGAGCGTTTGTGCATTGATTAATGATTAATTGATTACCTCTATGTGTATATACGCATGCAAGAACAGAATATTATAGAGCTAGTGCATATAAAACTAATGTAACTTACATTATAGTCAGATTCTTCCGATGTCTCAGTTGAATATAAGTAGTTTTCCATTGTAAAATTGTCGACACCACTAGTACAAAATGTTATAAATAAATGACAATAACAGATATCCAAAAGCTTCCAACTTAATGACCTCAAGAAATTCAGCATGAGTAGTACATCCACATTCACTGATAAGCAAATGTTTGTTGTGTTTTATATGATTTTAATAAAAATAAAATGTGGGGATATTGGAAAGTGATATACTACAGAATAATATTTTCTTGAATACCTACCTACTCATGCTGTTGATAAAGATAAAAATATGAAATGATAATTTTGGTTGACCATATTATAAAATTTGGACCTAAGACTTGTAAAATATTATTATTCAGCATATTCTGCTATAATTTTTTATGCTAAATGATTAAGAAGAGGTTATAGTGTTTACCTAAACATATACTTTAATAAGTAGATAAAAATTAGATTAATTAACAAGAATAATAATGAGACTAATTGATTTTGCAGCTGACATTTTTACATATTTTCATTGACTTGGAGGGAATTAGGTCCGACCGTTGACTAAGTAAAATCCCTCATTCAAGGGCCCAGTACAAAACATAACATCGCGCCTTAACTTAAATTGTCCACTGCTTCCAACCAAACAACAAAACGAAGTGTGGCCACCATTAATGGGGTTCTATGTTAATGGGCAATGTAATTTCAATTTTATACGATCCGAAAAAAGCATGGCTAAAATTTTATCCCTCAGAAGCTTGGAAGAAATAAAGAAACAGAAATTTAAGGATGAGGGTGTTGTAACAATAACATCCCTCGAACAGGTGAGAATTTTTCATTATAAGTTGAACATAACCTCTTCATGACATTTCAGATTGAAGTCGAAGAAGCAGTTTATAAGAAACTCCACGATTTAAGTTTAAGGATAAAAGTCAATCCTAATTTACCTGAATTGTTGCAAGAAAATCATAAATGTTACCTTTTGGATTGTTTAATTTACCTTTCTTCTGGTTACCAGGTGAGTTGTGCTAATTAGAAAAAAATAGTTTGAATTGTTTCACAGTCATTAGATGCGAGCCGTCCATGGCTGTGCTATTGGATTTTGCACGCATTGGCTTTAATGGGAATCAAAATAGATGAGAAACTGAAAAGTGCCATTGCAAAATTTTTAGCAAAGTAAGTCTTATTTGGTTGGTTTTGTACAGTTGTAATGACCTTTGTAGATGCCAGAGTCCTGATGGGGGTTTTGGAGGTGGACCTGGGCATTTGCCACATCTAGCAGCTACGTATGCAGCAGTCAATGCATTGGTCATCTTAGGCACAGAAGAAGCTTACAATGTTATTAAAAGAGATAAGTTGCAAAAGTTTCTGTGGAGGATGAGGCAGTCTGACGGCTCTTTTTGCATGCATCAAGATGGCGAAATTGATATTCGTGGTGTTTATTGCGCTTTAGCGGTTGCTAGTCTAACAAATGTGTTATCAGAAGATCTAGTCAGGGGCACTTTTGAATGGATAATAAGGTTGGACTTGCAAGACAGTTTGAAAGAAAAAAGTTAAACGTAATTTTAGTTGTCAGACTTATGAAGGTGGTTTCTCAGGGTGTCCAGGGATGGAAGCTCACGGCGGCTATGCTTTTTGTGGATTGTCTGCACTTATAATTTTAGGAAAAGGGCATCTCTGTGATTTGCAGGCTTTATTGGTAATAAATGTATGTTTTAAAAATGATTGTCATCAATTGTGGTTTCAGAGATGGACAGTGAACCGGCAGATGAGATTAGAAGGTGGTTTCCAGGGACGTACAAATAAGCTAGTTGATGGTTGTTATTCTTTCTGGCAAGGAGCCGCTTTTCCATTAATTTATAGTTTGTTGGCTGAAGGTTGTTAATTTTTTATGAATTATTTTGGTGCAAATTTTATTTATTGCAGATGGTTTTGAAGTGAAAAATCATTTTTTTGATGAAAGAGCTTTACAAGAATATATTCTAACATGTTGTCAGCACCCACAAGGAGGTCTCTTAGATAAACCTGGTAAACATAGAGACATTTACCACACTTCGTACACTCTCAGTGGATTATCAGTAGCCCAGCATTTTATGAACGATCTTCATATTCTAGGAGATCCAGATAATGAAGTATGTTGCACACATCCAGTTTACAACATTAGGCCCGATCATGTTCGAAAAGCGATGATTTTTTTTAATAATTTAGGGGTCCCAAGTAATCATAACATGAGTACGTGACGTTTATAACGCTCCTATTCATATTTTATACATTATTGCTGAATACAAGTTTTTTTTTTAATTTCTTGGTGATTTCTTTCTAGACGATTGGGAACACTGCACATTTTCTTCCCCCCCACTTTAATCCTGAATTGTGAAATAAACATACGAAGCGCCGACCAATCACGTAGTTCGTAGTTGCTTGTGTCATGTTTCGCAGAGGTATCTTTGCGCTCCTCCGCATTGTAAACAATGTGTCAAAATTAATAATTAGGGATTAATTATCTTATCTTAATGATAGTGAAGTGATAATTAATTGATAATAATGATAGCAAACGGACAGATAGTGGGTGACGGCTCCTGGAACCTCCGGGTTTTAGTCACCGATTTGCAAGCGGAGCGCCAACTCCGAGTAAAGAGCGACTTGCACATCGGAGGAGTTATGTTGAGGCTCGTCGAGGACTTGGGTCAGTATGTGAAGAATTCATTTCTTTTACAGTTAGTGCACCTGTTGCAAATAGTTGCTGGAATGCGGTTTTGTGGATTGCGCTGATGGTTTATTAATAAATACCCCACGTCTGTGCACTTGGCGCTTGAAAAAACCATCGGCCTTGGCCAATTTATTCAAAAGTGCAAAATGCGATTAATTTCCTCGAAAATTTATTGGGGAAATAACTCATAACCTCTAAAGGAAATGTAAAACGATCCAGTAGGCTGCTTGTTTAGGCGATCTGATTGGCGGACGCTGTGTGACGTATGAATTATTGTTTTGAGCCAGATGGTTGTTTCCATAAAAGAGTTTACATAATAATTTTACGGATTTTGGGTTTTTGTTCAACAGAAATATTACCCAGTACCCAGTGTTTTTAGTACTTTTCTTATTTGGATTTCATTCTGTAATTACTGTCCTTTAAAGATTAAAAAAAACCTTTTTTTTTATTTATAAAGTTTACTATGTAACATTGCACTAGTATGTTCTATGAAATCATTTTTAATGTGTATAATTTCTTAAAATTCTTGCAATTGCAGTTTAAAATTTATGATTTAATTAACATTCTTGACAATTCGTTTATTTTTTATTGTTTGTGTACTTTTTACACTAATCAGCAATAAAAAAGAAACGGGAAAATATTTGGGGTAAATATCTAAAAATCTGAGATTTTTATTTTATTTTTGCCGTATTATTGTTTTCCCTGTAAGACTCTTTTTTTTAACTTATATGTATTAAGAAAAGTTTCAAAAAATATTTTCGAGGATGTTATGCATAGACTTTACAATATTCTTTCTACCTGAGCAACGGAATTTTGAAAATTTGCATGACAATAGGTGGGATTTCCGTCTTCAGGTGTATTATCTGTCATATTTAACACTTGGTATTATTAAAAAAATGTGTATTTTTAATGTTTATTTGTAATCATCTATAAGCTTAAAGAATAAATCGCGGTTTCATATACTTAAACAAAGTTTCAAATAATTACAGCTTTTTAAAAACACAGCAGATTTGACATGTTTTTAAGATTATGTGTGACAGTAACTTAGGTAACAAGGAAAGTCCATTTATTGTGAAAAAATATTGCGTTTTTTATGTGAGAACAATATTAATTACATATCACAATTGAAAACCCATTCTGCACATCTGTTTTTCATACTGAATAAAGGGCTTTGTGTAGTTTTATATAAAGTTTGTTGCAAATCTATCAAACAAACAAACTGAAAGCAGGTAGTGTTGTATTCTTTTAAATTTTGTTTTCTTAAGTAACTAATTTAATACCTATTCCACAAATAGAAAGTTATATTATTTTTATGAATATGACTGGTTTTTCGTTGTTATTCTTCATATCACAAATTTTCTAAGCATTTTCTAACATTACACAAATTAAAATTTTATTAAATGCTTTAAATATCCAATCTGTGTTTCCGTTCTAGCTTGACATAGGTATTCTGTAAATAAGTCCTATACCTCCATATTTTAAATACAATCTAAAATAAGATTAAAAATTTTGCACACAGTGTGTTTCACGATTTTTATCAAAACGAATTATTATTAAAAGATACAAAGAGGATTTTCAAATTAAAATACCAATTTTGTGCATCAGTAAGTACATTTTCTATTATATGTGCACCCACATATTACCTACGGTTTTAGAATGACGTCAGACTTCTTAAAAGATGTAGATTTGGTCAAGGCACTCGTCATAAATTAACACTCTCCGACCCTCCTTTCAATATATCGTAAATAAAAATATTTTAAAAATTCAATCCCACGTAATACAACAACAAATTGCGAAATTTGTGCCGGTTAGTTTACTTTCATTGCTGGTGACAAATGGATTTTTACGTCAATAATTTCTTGCCATTTCGGCGCCACCATTTTATCCTTTTAAAGTAATATTTCAGGACTTTCACCGTGATTCAAAGAGAATTTTCCCTTGAATCGATACAGAAATGTCGCCAAACCTTTAAAAGATCTTGCAAATAAAATGTAACGTCCGCCGGAATTTCCATTATCATATCACTGTTTATTTATAAAATAAACAAATTGGCTTTTTGAAGATGTGTTGAAATTTTGTCCGGCGTTACCCGTTACCGTAAATGGTTGGTTCTGGTTGGAGAGAGTGCGGATAGCAAGGTCGTACGGTTGCCTAGGCTATCTTGATTGACCATGACATCGTCCTAGCTAAATAAAAGAATTCACCCTGCTTCACCTGAAAGACAGGTCATGGTGACATCACAATCTGCAACTGCCAGGAGTGCCGCTCCTGAATCGAAATTGTTTTTTTTACACTGAATCAGTATTAATTTCACCGTTTGATATTGCTCTGTTTTCGAAGGTGCAGCAAACCTGTTCTAGTGCATTCATTCAAGGAAAACTGTCCACTGACAGGAATAAAAGAATGGCGAATTTTGCATGTTACGTAATCGTTAGGTGTGTGACACCCAGCCCATAAAAGGAAAAATAACAAGAATTTTTAAGTAAACAATTGTCGTTATTGCTGTTAAATGAATTGAGGCTGAATTATTTAGTATGATTGGGAATTTGTTTATTATTTATCTTGGTTGGTAAACATTTAAAAATCAAATGATACGTCGTCGTCAATTCGTAACATTTAAAGCAATGATCATGTTCACTTTAATTGGGGATTTATTAGAGCAAACGAAATATGCTCCTAATTATGTAATATAAGACATCAAAGCAGAGAAATTTATCAGAAAGATCAAAAACATTCTAAAAATGTATCTACTTCAGAAGCAAACCGAAGAAAAACCAAACAACTATAAATATTGTGTATTTTGTCTTTTGATTTTATTATTATGAATAGAAGGTAAAGTCAATTTTTTCTTTAAAAGAAAACTAACAAGTCAAAATTTTGGTAAAAAAATTGGTAGCAGCTTGTTTCCGTAACCACAAATTTTGTTGCTCTTTGGGGTTGTCCCTAGAAATTTTATTAAAAAATTATGGTTATGTTTTCACATTGAGATGTCAAAATTTTGAGTTTTATGAATCCTGTGTGCCTATTTGCTCTTTGAAAGCGCTAATTGAATACCTAAGGACAGACATCATTACCTAAGATCTAAAGACAAAATTCAGTGCTAATAATTTTGATAGAAACACACCGAAAGTAAGTATGTACAATGTTTTGGACAAAAATGAGGTTCTTGCTACAAAAACTTTGAAGAAAAAGGATGTATATACAGAAAAATGTTATTTAGCAAAAGATGTCGAGCGATCAAGATAATTTGTAATGGAGTCATCATTGGATTCGAAAACGTTTGTCTGTAAAATGTCAAGTAAAATGACAAGTCGAAAAGTAAAATGGCATGATCCAAAAGGTGATGATTATAATAACTAAATATATAATTTATCTTCAAAAAAGAACGGTCCTACTCGTATTATACGTCGACAACTAATTCCAGCCTATTTTGCCGTTTTACCTTTCGACTTGTCATTTCATTTGATGTTTTACGTGCAGTTAATTCAAAAACAGACATAAAAGCGCAAATTGATTTTTTTATAATGTAATTTGGTCTGTTAATAAATGACGTTGTCTTTGTCACAAATCACAATTTCATAATTTTCAGGCATCTTAACTTCTATCAAGTTTTACCATGTTTTTCCATTTTGTTTTTAACACTGACTATGATACTGCATTGGCAAGACCACCAAATACGACATTTCTGTTGATAGTTTTTGGGAAGAACCTTTTTTCACACTATGTAAAATCTCTGAAAAATTTTGTTTTTGACAATTTGCGTTTTTTTGCACTCAAGTGTACTATACGGTGAATCAAATGATAAATCTGTTATAATATTACAAAAAATGTACTTTTTGGCAATTCAATGTCTTTGTTTTTGGTTTAGTTTTATGGTTTAAGATTTTCTCAATTTTCTCAGAGTTTATAAATAAGCCTTTATTTTTTCTTTTTGCTTCTTTTTTTTTTGACGTTTCATTTTGATGACTTTATGCTTAAATTAAAAATACCTAACTAAATACAGTGCGATCAAAAAGTCTTTCTAACACATAATCATAGAAATTTAAAACGATTGTCTGCAGAAGATAAAATGTCCCAATGACAAATCGACTCCTCCACCAAAACTATAGTAACTCATAAAAATTGGTTTTTGAGTTACAATGGCTCATGTAGGGCCCAAAATACAAAAACAATGAGAAAAATTTTCTTTGAAAAAACAATTATTTACCAAAATTTAGACCCTCAGCAATTTTCAATAATATTAAACAGTTTCTTGATTTTTTATTAACAATCAAAGATTCAATGCAATTTTTCTCAAAACTGTAATTTTTGAGTTACTATAGTTTTGGGAGAGTCGAAATGGGAAATGTCAAAATAATTTTTATGTAAATAAATGTATGAATAAATACCAACAACAATTTCATTTTAGGTTGTTTTAATGTTTCATAGAATAATTCAATTTTCTTACATCAATATTTTAATTTTTATAAAACAATTTTTTGACATCTCGCTAACATTCTTCCTCAACTAGTTACGCCTACTTGATAGAAAATCTTTTTGAACGCACTGTATTTTGTTTTTGGATTATGTTTAACGGTTTAACTTCTTACTACCTACTAAACTCGACGTGCTATTGTTAGTTTAATTTCAATGTTTGTACAATCTAAATTTTCATAAGGAAAGAGAAAAAAAAAACAATATTTGTACTGAGATTTGAACTATCTACAGGACATTGCGAATGTTTTATTTAAATTTCAAAATCTTAAAGCAAATATTTATGCGTTTTTATGTTCTCAGTTTTTCTATGACCATGAGTGTATTGTTTGTAGTACAGTAGAGGCTCGCTAATATGGACTTGATGGGACCGGACCCTATTTAGTTTAAACGAATGTCTGGATTCAACGGAATGAGCTTTAAAATGTCTCTAAAAGGAATTTTAGACGAGTAAAAATATTAAAATAATTTTTTTCGTCATATTTATGTTTGTAAGCGAAACG